TGCATGTAATCTGTATGGACAACGGCATTATAAAATGCAATAAAATAAATTACCTATCATGCTGCTGTGCTGCCTGCTCTGTTCTGATCATTGATGTAAAGAAATCCCGGCCCATTTTCATCCTTGCAGGCTCTTGAGCAGTGAGAGAGCGATGGTCAGCCTGGTTTTGGAGGGGAGAGAAGTGACTCGCTCTGCTCTGGGGCAATGTAGGTTCCTGTACCTACTCCTTCCAGCACCAATGGCCCGGACATTGGGTATCCATTAGGAAGCACTCATGGAGGCTCCAGAAGCGGGGCCGGGTTTGCAGCCTTGACATCTACCCCTTAAAAACGTGAAGCTTTGGCACATCCCTCAGATAATGGACTTCCAGGGGCACGGGGGCTGTGCCATGGGGAACTTCTGGCTGTTGCTTCGTGTTCTTTTCCTGCACATCCTCACTCCGAGTCAGGGCCAGAGCTGCAGCAAAGGGGACGGGGATGGGGATGGGGCAGGAGCGCATTTCAGCCCTGAATTGGCTGCCTCCCAGCTGCTTCCAACCCCTGCCAATATGAACAAGCTGCTGCAGCCCCCTTCCCTGCGCTGCTCCAGCTCGGCCAAACTTCCTTAATCTTTTTTCCAGTGGCTTTTTTCCAGGGTTCCTGAACCACATCCAGCTCCACAGCGGCTTCCTGGGGCGCGCTGAACGTGCCACCACCAGCCCCTTGCAGCCACGGGTGCAGGAGCCAGCAGAGGGGCCGTGTCCCTGTCCCCCAGGGGCTCGTGGCCATCGGTCACTGCGGGAGCATCTGGCTTTGATGGATTTAACACTTGGAGAAAGAGCTTTTAACTTGTAAACTAGGAACTTTTTTGGCCTTTCTGTTTTGCTGCAGACATGGAAGGTCTCTTGCTTTGATTGCAAAGCCAGTATGTGGATGGGGGATGAGACTGGGACCAGCCACCCCTTCCCCTCAGGAAGCAGAGTATCTCCATGAACCTAGAAAACCATGGTATCCTCTTTGTCACCCCCACCCCTCTCATTCTCTTCCCTCCAGAGCTCATATCCACAAGGATGCCACCCTTCTCTCCATCTTCGCCCTAAATCCATGAGTTTTCCCCCACCCCTGAAGCACGGTGTGGGGTTTGCTGCTGCGAGCTGAGCCCCTGGGGAGAGGCCTTCCAACAGTTCAACAGACCAGATGAAAGGAGGGAATGCTTTTGGTGGGGTCGGTTTGCCTTGGTTTTTAATGAGCATTAAGGAATTGCAACAACAGGGGCCAGGAAAGGATGTGGCCAAAGCATTCTTGCTCTGAGATCTGTTCCCCTCCCTGGGCCGCTGATGTCTCCGGGGTCTCTGGTCCATGTGGCTGTAACCCTTGGTGGGATGCTCTGACAGACATTGATGTGTGTCCATGGCACGACACGTGCTCGGCTCGATGCTCCGGGACAGGAGGGGGAAGTCTTTAACTTTTTCCATCTTCAAAAGACAAATGTTCGCAGGGCCCTTTTTTATATTAAGTTTTTTATATATTAAATGTCCGTTTCCTTCTTTTTCTCTCTTTTTTTTTTTTCATTATTTACAGAAATAGCCCGTGACTCATCAGAATCCGTGAGCAGAAAACAGTGGGGTCATTCACTGCGCACCCAGCGAGCCGGGGCCTCCCCCCCTCCTCGCACAGGAGCCGTTGAGAAGCTCGGTTTTGTTTGGGGACTCGGTGTGGATGGATGAGGGGTTATGGCTCCGGCCCCGAGCAAACACGGCTCCGTCTGCACAGCCCCGCTCTGTGCTGACTCCACGGCCCCATTCATGGCAGGTCAGCGGCGGCGTGGGGCTGGGCCCCGTGCTTGTTTTCGCATCGCCGGCGTCTGCTGCTCTCTATTTATTTTCCTTTCGGAGCAGCAAAGGGATCGATGCCGGGAATGTTGCAAAACCCTCTTTGAACTGCACGAGTCGAGGCTGCAGCGCTGAAACCCTTCCCGGAGCCGGGAACGTCGGGGAGGTTGAAATCTCTGCCCAACGCTTGTGCATCGCAGGGCAGCAGCAGGTCCAGGGTGATGGGGAGCAGACCCCGCTCCCTCCCAACAGAGCCCATGAGCGGGGAGGATCCGGGTGGATTTACTTTGGCGGGCGAGGAGCCGGGAGCGGGTGCCAGGGGTTGTGAATGTGGGTCAGTGCAGTCACACACCTACAGAAACAGCCTTGTGCTCCAAAATACAGCCGGCTCCCACAGAGCTCCTCAGGGTGTATCGCAGGGTTCATCTGGGTGTAGCAGTGCAGGACGAACGTGCCCCCAGCCCTGCTCCTCCCGTCCCCAGCACCCTGCTAACGCTGCTCCAGGGGCATTTCCTTTAGAGGTGATGATGCTTTGGGGGAAAAAGACTTGTTTTTATGGAAAATGCTCTCGGTGTGCCATGGGTAACCCCATGGGAGACCTCACTGGGCTCATTCCCCTGCTCTGCTCCCCTCCATCCCTGGAGCTTTCCAGTACAGGGATGGGGCTGAGCAGAGGGAGTATCCTGAGCCACTGAAGTTGTGACTCAGCTTCCCAGGTGCTCTTTAATCTCTTTGTGTGGGTTATCAGCTGGAGCTGCCAGCACAAAGGAAAAGTGCTGCTGATCCCCACCTGAGCCGTGCATGTGGCACCCTGGTTCCCAGCTCCGTCATAGAACCATGGAATGGTTTGGGTTGGAAGGGACCTCAAAGCTCATCCATCTCCAGCCAGGGACCCCTTCCACTGGAGCAGCTTGCTCCAAGCCCCTGTGTCCAACCTGGCCTTGAACACTGCCAGGGATGGGGCAGCCACAGCTTCTCTGGGCACCCTGTGCCAGCGCCTCAGCACCCTCACAGGGAAGAGCTTCTGCCTAAGAGCTCAGCTCAGTCTCCCCTCTGGCAGGTTAAAGCCATTCCCCTTGGCCTGTCCCTACATCCCTTGTCCCAAGCCCCTCTCCAGCTTTCCTGCAGCCCCTTCAGGCACTGGAGCTGCTCTCAGGTCTCCCCTTCAGGAGCCTTCTCTTCTCCAGGCTGCCCCAGCCCAGCTCTCTCAGCCTGGCTCCAGAGCAGAGCTGCTCCAGCCCTCGCAGCATCTCCATGGCCTCCTCTGGATTCCCTCCAACAGCTCCATGTCCCTCTTGTGCTGTTGTTCCCCAGAGCATCACTCCCTGGGCAGTCACCCGCCTCCTTCCCCAGGCTTGATGCAGCCCCACGGCTGCTGGCTCCTTCCTGCATCCATCCCCTTTGTCCGGTGGCTCCGCATCCCTTGGTGCTGCTCGGGAGGAGCGGGGCCGGGCTCCTGGGTTCCGGAGCAGGTAAACAGGGAGGAATGTGCGGCGGCAGCGCGTGGGGCTGGCGTGTTCCCAGGTGACTCACGGGCACACCCCGCACGGCACGCATCCCGCTCCGGCTTGGACGCCGCTGGAATGAATCCTTGTGGAAAGCTGCCGGGACCTGCTGGGGCTGCGGCCAACGGAACGGTGTCAGGTGAAGGAAATGACCCAGCCGCTGGCTCTGAGGGGGTGACCCCCCCCCCGGGATGGTGTTAGTGCTTCACCCTCAGTAACATGGATGCGCAGAGAAGGCCTCTGCAGCAGCAGCACTGTGGCCGGGGAGGAGGGCCCCTGCATCCCACTGCACCCCATCCTGCGCCATGCACCAGGGCTCTGGCCAGGTGGGGATCCCTGTTTTCCCAACCTGCCAAGCAGGGACTGATGTGCAGCGCCTGGCTCAGTGGGGTGGCCTGGATGGTGCTGGTTGTGCGGAGGATGCAGCTCCAGCCGCAGGATTTTAGGTGCAGGCAGGGATGCTCCTCTTGGGAGGGTTATTTAAAAGGCACAAGCCATGGTGACAAGCTGGCTTTAAAGCAGACCAGTGCTTGAGGTCTTGCACGACCTCAATCTCCCTGGCTCCAGGCTGGAGCTTTCAGAGAGATCCTGAGCACGCTGGGTCCCCCCAGTCCCACTTTTCCCCCTCCTGACACATGCAGCCGCAGTGGTGACATCCCAACCCTTTCCCCTTACCCCTCACCGCACTAAATGCCACATCACCACGCAGGAGGCAGCAGCAGGATTGCAGCATCCCCATGCAGGAAAGCAGCGGGTTTGCGGGGAGTCATCGGGGCTGTCCCATGGGCACAGCCCTGCTCTGGGAACACAGAGCTCTGCATTGCAACACCAAGCATTGCCCAGACCCGCAGCGTGTCCGGGAAGTGATGGCAGAGGGAAGTGGTGGCTTGGGGTGACCCCAGCCCCAACACTGCAGGGAGGGCACCCCAAATCCAGGCTCACGCTGGGCTGCAGGAGCTTGGAGCAGCCCCAACCTCTCTGCGTGCTGTGCAATGCCGGGCTCTTTAAAGGCAGGCAAACAGCAGTGATATAAAACCCCCCCCACGTTTGAAACGGTCCCACCAGCTCCTACATGATGCTCTGCACGAGGCCCAAGCCTCATGGGGACCCTGTGCCGGAGCGAAGGCCCGCATGGGACACGCTGCTGCTGCCGGGAAGCTCCGTGTCACCGTGACTCTGGGGCTGGTGATGGCTGTGACACCGTCCCCTCCGCTCCCAGCGCCCTGGGGAGCCGAACCTCGTTTATGTCAGCTGGGGAAACTGAGGCAGGGAGGGGTGGCGGAGGCAGAGGGTAAAAGCGGCCTCTTCGCTGCCCGATCCCGAGCACGGCCGGGCAGTGGCAGCCCCCGTTCTCCCCCTACCCCAGGGGAAACCAGAGCCGAGCCGCAGCGCGGAGCAGCCCCGGCCCCGAGGCTGCCGCTGGGATCGAGCGGCTCCGGCTCCGGGGCACGGGGCGGTCTCGCAGCTTCTCCTTTAATGAGCTCGGGAGGAATCAGGGAGAGCAACCGGAGAGCGGAGCGGGGCGAGCCCAGCCCCGCCGCCCCCGACGGCGCTTTATAACCAGCGGGGCGGGCGGCGGGGCCGGTCCGGGCAGCGGGGGCTGAGCCGGGGCCCAGGTGAGCGCGGCCGGGGCCGGGCTGGAGGCGGGGGAGGGCCGGGCTGCAGCGGGGGCCGGGCCGGGGTCCCGGGGAAGGGGGGGGGGGTCTCGCAGTTCGCGCTGTCTCCGCCGCAGCCGCCGCGCCCCTCACCGATGTCCCAGGCCAGCGCCCACCGGCAGAGCCGCCCGGAGCCCCGCCGAGCCGAGCCGGGACCGCAGCCAGGTACCGGGGTGCTGCTGGGGAGCCGAGGGGGGCCGGGGGTGTGCGGGGCTTCGGAGGGGTGCACGGCGTCGGGGGCTCCGTGTGCGCCCAACGGGGACGTGCAAGGCTGCGGGGGTCCTGGTGTGTGCGCGACAAGAGAGGGGGGCCCTATGTGCAGGGCTGGGGGGGTCACTGTGTGGGGGGGGTTTGGGGGTCCCTATGTGCAGGGCTGGGGGGGTCACTGTGTGTGTGGGGGTTTGGGGGTCCCTATGTGCAGGGCTGGGGGGGGGGTCACTTTGTATGTGCGGGTTTGGGGGTCTCTGTACAAGCTGCAGGGCTGGGGGGGGTCACTTTGTATGTGAGGGTTTGGGGGTCCCTGTACAAGCTGCAGGGCTGGGGGGGGTCACTGTGTGTGTGCGGGTTTGGGGGTCTCTGTACAAGCTACAGGGCTGGGGGGGGTCACTTTGTATGTGTGGGTTTGGGGGTCTCTGTACAAGCTACAGGGCTGGGGGGGGGTCACTTTGTATGTGCAGGTTTGGGGGTCCCTGTGCAAGCTGCAGGGCTGGGGGGGGTCACTTTGTATGTGCGGGTTTGGGGGTCCCTGTGCAAGCTGCAGGGCTGGGAGTGCCCCGCGGGGGGCACATTCCTGGCTACAGTGCGTATACATGGAAAGGGGGGGTCCCCTTGTGTGTGTGGTTGTGGGTGGACAACATGGGGGGGGGGGATGTAAAGCACAGCTCGGGGGGGGGATTTATATGGTGGAGTATGTGAGTGGTTGGGGGGAGCATTGAAGGGGGTGCCTTAGTATGTGTGTGAGTGTGCACGTGTGCGTGTGCACTGAGCGTGCGGACACGGCGGATGCGGGTGAGCCCCCCGGGAGCTGCAGCACGAACTTTTCATCAGCTGCTGCTGCTGGGCCAAGTGAGGGGCACTGAAGGGGTTAAACCCCCCCCTGAGGGCGGTGTGAGGGGCTGGGGGGGCCCTTCCCCAGCTGCAGCAACTCCTAGGGGCTCTGCGGTGGGATGCAGGATCAGGCCATGGAGAAGGGAATGGAAAAAAGTTTGGGAATCGTCACTTTTACCGTGGGGAAAGCTGAGCCCTTTGATTGTGGTGGCTCTGCTGTGGTTCTAAGGACTTGTGCTGGCGTCCCGCAACGGTCCTCACCATGGTTCACATGTGGAAACTGCATTAAGATGTGAAAGAAAAGAAATGCCAGTGCAGGAGGGTGATGGGGAGAGGTGGGAGCCCCCATTGTGCTGTCGGACCACATACAAGGGACCAAACCCCCTGAGCAGGCAGGAGCTGTGCTTCGGGAGCCCCAGGCACGCTGATGCGAGGGAGCTGAGCACGGCTGGATCTCCCCTTGTTGGCTTTGGCCTGGAGCGTGGCTGGGCCCAAGTGTTGGAGAATACATCCTCTTGTTCTCTTCCCCCAGCTTTTCCAGCTGGATGCTGCGGGCTCTGCTTCCCGGCTGCACTCTTATGCTGCTTTGTGCTGCAGCCGCAGGGGCCGTGTGGAGCTCAGTGCTCTGGATTCCCTTCCATTCCCTTTCCTCTCCAGGTGGGAAACTGCACTGTTAACACATGGATCTAGTGCAGAAAAGCCTTTGCACGGGAGTTTGTCACCAGCCTGGGTTAAGGAGGAGCCCTGCGTGAGACCAAGTGTGGGTTGCTTTAAAAAGTAGCTTTAAAATGTGCCCAAACTAGGCTGAAACCACGATAAATGCATCCAAAGAAATGGCCTCGCTGCTGTTCCGTGGTGCCAGCGGCTGGATGTGCACAGTGTGTGCAGATAGCATCCAATATGGTGCCCAATTCGGTGTGCCCATGGTGGGGGGGTCACCTCCATCCTCATCCAGCCATCCCTGGAGGGCAGCGTGGAGCTGGGGTGAGTGAAACTGAGCAGAGCAGCACCAAGTTTGCCTCCTTCAGACCCACATTTAGCACTGTCTCCAGGACACCCTCAGCTTCCATCTGCCCATGCTCCAGGGACCGGGTTCCACGCTTGAGGGACCATCCTTGTCGTGTCTCGGAGAGCGCTTTCCAGTTGCACATCCTGAGCTTTGAATCCTTGCTCCTGTTGCTTCCCTCTTCCTTTCTTTTCTGTTTCTGGGGAGCAATGAATGGACCGGTCCAAGCTGTCCTTCGTGCTTGTTTGGCCTCGTGACATCTCGGTGCAGCCACTGCCATTTGGGCAGTGTCCAGGGGCTTTGTCACGCACACGGAGCCTGGGAATTTGTGCTCTGCTCCCTGGCTGATGCTTTGCAGATGAGACCAGGGAGTTCTGCACCACCAAACCCGTGACAGAAACATGGAGATGGAGGTGCTGTGCGGCTTGGCTCAGGCTGGCGCGTCGTGGGCAGGTCAGGTTGGCATTCCTGGGCTTGCTCCCATTTCCCAGCCTGAGATGAAGCCCGTTTCTTGGAGTTTATTCCTTGGCATCAATCTGGAGATGGGCCCGGTGCCATTGCAGCCTCCTCCCACCCCACAGGGACGGGCGCATCGGGCTTGAAATAGCCACAGGTAGTTTGCAGAGCAGCCTGGGGAGAAGAGGCCATTGCCCCCATGGAGTATGTGGGCTCTAATTATTACCCTTTCTGAGGAATTAACAGGAGAAAAACAGCCCTTTGGCTGATGGGATTATTTTTGTCCTTCCCTCCTTGGGGAGAAAGAGGAGGAGGACCAGGGACAGCAGGAGAGCGGCTTTCCATAGGGGAAGCAAACCCATGGAGAGATGCTTGAGGCAAATCCCATCTTCAGAAGGAAAACCTTTCTCCTGGTGTTTGCCTGATTCCCCATCCCAGCAGGACACTGGCTGCATCCCTGCTCCATTTGGGCAGGAACGGGATGCTCGCACACACTTCTTGAATTCTTTCTGCTGGGGCCTGACTGCCTGCATGAGGGTGCTGAGCACCCATGGGTGCCCTGGCCACCGCAGGCCGGCCAGGAGTCAGTACCACATCACTTAGGTTCCCATTACCAGCCTCTGCAAGGGAGGTGGCAGCAAACAGAACCCTCTCCAGGGTCAGCATAGAAGGGTCTTTGCTTGTGTGTGCACTGATTTAAATGCAGACATCCTTGAAGCTCAGCGGAGCAAAACTAAAAAAGCCCTCAAAGAAACAGTATACATTTATCTTTTTAACCCCAAATAAAGCCCTTTATTTTTTGCTCAAAAAGCTGAATTTCTGTTTGTCTTTCACAGTTTCTTGCCTGCTCAGGGAAATGCTTTGGGGTTTTGGTCTTTCCTTTGAACACCACCACCAGGACTCGAGGTAAACACAGCCCAGCAGATTGCTGGTGCTTCAGCTGCTCCTGGTTCCCAGCGAGCAGCAGAGCCCTGTGGGGCTGTGCCGCTCCCGATTGAATTTCCTTGGGAAGCGCCCGTTCGAGTCTGTTCCTTGCAGAAACTCGAGCTCTCCGCTGGGCGTTTGCTGTAGTTCCTCTGGTTGTTTTTATTCCCAGAGTTCCGCCTCGCTCAGCCGAGCTTCCCATGGGATGGGCGCCGCGTTCCGTGCGGGATGGACCCACCTCAGTCCCTCCCGGTGCTGGCAGCTCCTTCCCGTTTCCTCCCTTCCCCAGGTGCTGGGCTTGGGTTGGACCAGTGGGGATGAGCTATGACATGGCAGGAGGGACGGGGTTATTGGGGTTGGTTTGCCCCAGATTCCAACCTTCAGGCTTTGTCCACTTGGACCGTGGGCCTGGGTCCATGCTTCCTCCATCTCTGATCTTCAGCCACGCTTTGGCAGCCTCCTTGCACTCGGTGTTTGGCTTGGAGGGAAGGTTTCCCTTCGGGTGCCGTCCCGCTGTCTGCATCAGTGCATCCCTGTGTCAGGGAGCAGATAGTAGCTTCAGGAAGCGCTTTCACCCCAGTCCATCCTCTTTTTGGGATTCCCATGCGTGCACAGGAGGCTCCCAGTGGCTCCTTTCCCCAGTGCAGGCAGCCATGCCCAGGGCAGGATGATGCTCACCTGGTTTGGCCACTTTCAGTGCCAGTTCTGCAGCATATTCCCCACAGCAGCTTTGCCTTCACATGGTGAGGAAGAGGAAGCTGGACAACAAGCTGCCTCCATCCGTTCCACCCAAATGGCTTCACTGTTGGCTGCTTTCCTTCAGCAAGCAGGCATGCTGTTGCTTTCTCACCATCCAGGCCATGCTCAGCACCTCCAAAGCCTCTCTGGGGTCTCTCAAACCCCAAGTAGGAAGTTAAGCACCAGAACTGCAAAGCTTTGGGCTCCATCCCCATAGAATGTTGCTTTGGGCAAACTCCTTTTGAGTGCTTCCTCAACGGGATGAATGGCTCCACAAGTGCAAGGTCCTACACTTGGCTGGGAGCAATCCCAGGCACAGCTACAGGTTGGGCAGAGGAGAGATTCAGAGCAGCCCTGTGGAGAAGGACTTGGGGGTGTTGGTTGATGAGAAAATGAACATGAGCTGGCTTCAGTGTGCGCTTGCAGCCCAGAAAGCAGCCGTATCCTGGGCTGCATCAAAAGGAGCGTGACCAGCAGGTCGAAGGAGGTGATCCTGCCCCTTTACTCTGCTCTCGTGAGACCTCACCTGGAGCACTGTGTGCAGTTCTGGTGTCCTCAACATAAAAAGGACATGGAACTGTTGGAACAAGTCCAGAGGAGGCCACGAGGATGAGCAGGGGCTGGAGCACCTCCTGTATGGAGACAGGCTGAGAAAGTTGGGGCTGTTCAGCCTGGAGAAGAGAAGCTGAGTGGAGACCTCAGAGCAGCTTCCAGTATCTGAAGGGGGCCTATAGGGATGCTGGGGAGGGACTCTTCATTAGGGACTGTAGTGACAGGACAAGGGGTAACGGGTTAAAACTGAAACAGGGGAAGTTTAGATTGGATCTAAGGAGGAAATTCTTTCCTGTGAGGGTGCTGAGGCACTGGAATGGGTTGCCCAGGGAGGTTGTGAATGCTCCATCCCTGGCAGTGTTCAAGACCAGGTTGGAAGAGGCCGTGGGTGCCATGGTTTAGTGTGAGGTGTCCCTGCCCATGGCAGGGGGGTTGGAACTGG